ACCCTAAAGCTCTGTATCCTAAAGTCCTAAACCCTAAACCCTAAACCCTAAACTCTAAGCCCTAAACCCTAAACCCTAAACCCTAAACCCTAAACCCTGCCCCAGGACCTCGGGCCGGTCCTCCTCGGAACCGCCTGGCGGAGGCGCAGCTGAAGCTTCTGAAAAGCTCCGGCCACCTGGCAGTTGATGTGGGAGTTTCCGAAAATAGGGGGTACCTTAGTTAGGGGTCCTTATAATAAGGATCCTACTATTTGGGGTACTAGATTAGGGTCCCCTATTTTTGGGAATCCCCATGTACCTATAGGGTCATACCCTACCCCTTTTTTAGGGTACCAACTTTTTTATATAGCAGACCCGAACCATGAAATGAGATACCTTAAAAAAGGGGTAGGGTACGAGCCTTGATGTAAAGTTAAGGGGTTTAGGGTTTGGGGGCTTTAGGGGTTTAGGGTTTAGGGGAAAGTTGAGGGCTTGGGGTTTGTAGGTTTTAGTGGTTTGGGGTTTAACTGCCAGGGTTTAGGGTTTAGGCCTAAACCCTAAAGTTTAGGGTTTAGGCCTAAACCCTAAACCCTGGCAGTTGATGTAAAGTTGAGGGGACAGTTAGGATTTTTGGGGGTTTTAGGGGTCCAGGGTTTAGGCCTAAACCCTAAACCCTAGCCTTCCCTCGCATTTGATGCAAAAGTTGAGGGGTCTGGTTTTTTTGGGTTTGGGGATTTGGAGATGGAGGCCTGATCAGGGTTGAAGTTGTGCGTTCTTTTTCGGGATTTGGAACAGAGAGTGGGGTCTGCGGGTAGGCTGGGGTCAGGGGAACCGTTGCGGGGCGTGCTTAGTCGTCAAGTAAGTAGGAAGGGATCGGAATGATTATTGTTACTATCCCCTTCTAGCCCTGATATACTTGCTATGCCGTACCACCCTCACCACAACGAGAGCCAACTTTAATTATTTTTAACATTCAATCAGGCCGCCGTATTGGCTGACCTATCAAATTTGTTACCTAGTTTCAGGCAGCACAATCATCCCTGTCTGGTCCCAGAGCGTGGCCTGTAGTAATCTCCCCCTGCAAAACAAGCAGGAATGGTGAATCACGGAGTTTACTCTAGGGGCCTTGGCGAATGGGACTTTGAGGTATGTTATAGTATTTGTAGAGAGACTTTCAGAACATGATGACTAGCTGTTGCAAATCCTACAATACATGGGCCCTACTGAATCCACCTTCTATGGTTATAGCCTCTGTGTTTATGCGTCATCCACCACGGTAGGTTTGGCAGTGTCCACGAGGGATTAGGGCTCTTGCTGTGGGGACCCTGGAAATAACAACCTCTAGTTGCCCCAAGCATATCGTCCAGATTGCTATACACCCAGGTTTTAATCTGTAACAACCAAAGATACAGCCCAAAAACACATCCAATACTATTCCTGAATTAAGGTTCCTGATGATAATTATAGAACGATATACCCCCAAAACCCTACTCTAACTGCGAAGGCTCCAATATTAAACTCGTTGGGATATGGTTAGTTTTCTAAATGAGGGTCCCTTTTAGGTCCCCGATCTAGTACGGCACCCTTATAAAAAAGGACCCCCGAAAGGGACCCTAATTTAGAAAACTACCCATATACGGCTCAGGCTTCCACTTCCCGAAGAAAAATGTCCGGCCCTCTCTGAAGCGGCTGCTTCCACGGCGGCCAGCCAGTCCGGAAGGCGGAGGCCGCTCGTGGGGCTTGCTTTTTAGGGTTTAGGGTTTAAGGTTTGGGGTTTAGGGTTTAAGGTTTAGGGTTTAGGGTTTAGGGTTTAGGGTTTAAGTTTTAGGGTTTAAGGTTTAGGGTTTAGGGTTGAGTTTGTTGCGTCCGTGTCTTGTGGTTGGTTTCAGTCAGTTTTCAGTATAACAGAAGTAGGTATGCAGTTCTATCTACACATACACACCAAGTGTGATCATGTGTGTACGTGTATACCTATATATGTATGCATGCATGTATGTACATGTATATATATATATAACAAACATGTGTATATGTACGTATGTTTGTATGTATGCATCCATACATACATGCATCGCACAGGCGTACACACGCACATACATGTTTGTATGTCTGTGTATATATGTATGTATATATATATATATAAATAGTTGGATAGATTCATTCCGTTCCCATTACAGATATGTTTGCATAAATCGCTCCAGCGGTTGTCGCGGATTTAGTTGAGTCTCGAGCCAGGCGATCCTCCTCCTGCTGCCGAAGAGGCCGATGCCGAGCTCCCTTCGACGAGGAAGCCGCCACTGCGCTGAACTAAAATTGCCCAAAGGGGTCCTAAGTAATTACCTGGATGTCATAGGTACCCTGCAGGGGGTAGGGGGGTAGGGGACTATACTTCCGTAAATAGGCCTTTTAAGGTCCTTATTACTGGTATTAAGCCCCCCTACCCCTACAAATGGGTTCGTTTAAGGGTTTGAGTAAGGTAAGTACTTAGTGGAGTACATGCTCATTGTTCGATTCGGTGATTTATCGTTTTAAGATTCTGGGGTTGGGGTGCACATTGTTTAGGGTTACATCTCGGACTTGGAGTTACAGTAGGACTCCACGCGCAGTTCCATTGCGGAAACATGCCCGAATATAAGCATGCTGACGCCCAGCTTAGCTGCCAGAGGGAAGTTGGCGGACCCTCTTGGCGAATACGAATATAGGGGCCGGAATAAATACAGTACCAAGAAAATATTTCAAGGGTTTATAACTATAGCATAACATACTCCAAAGCCTTATTCAAATTGTTAAGGCCCCTATATCGGGGTTTCCGAAAATAGGGGATCCTAATATAGTACCCTAAATAATAGGATCCCTATTATAAGGACCCCCAAATACGGTACCCCTTATTTTGGGAAAGTCCCATATTAGGTTGTGACAGGGGGACCTCAACAAGCCAGGCCCTTAAGTCGGGAGTTTGTTCAACCTGGGTTCTAAACTCTATTATGACAAACCTTAAGAACCCAAAACCTACTTTTTTGTAGGGTCCCTATAAATCCCATATTAGGGTTTATAATAAGAACCTACAAGAAAGTGGGGTTTAGGTTCTTAGGGAAACCTAAACTGTGTTTAGGGTATTGGGACAAGGGTCTAGGGAGAAGTATAGATCTCTATGACCCAAACAACCAGAAAACCGAAAGATTGCTGCTCAAGGTCACCCGAGAAGTCGACTTCCGAAGCGCAGGCGAAGCAGGAGCTCACACCCCGCAGACGGCTGAGGCTGGAGACGCGGAAAGAATCGGCGCCTCGGATGTGATGGTCAAGTTGCTTGAGAAGCGGATATATTTGAATTTTGACATGACTATTCTTGGGCACTTTAGCTGTTCAGACCCGGAACAGGGCTCTGATGAAACTGCATGCCAGGCCTCCAAGAATTTGCACAAACTCGGCTAGAGTCCCAAATTCTAGTCTAAAGTTAATCTCTGTCAGGCATTTTTTGGCACCGAAAGTGTCGAACTTGGCTGACAGCTATTAAACTCACTGACATTGAAGCAAAGCCTCAACAAGGATTCTGCCATTTGGCAAACTCGTTTCACATCCCGGACCAGAGGAATTCTTGTGGAGGTCTTCGGAACCTCTCGGCACCCCATATGGACACTGGCAGTCGATTCGTCCATGAGGCCCTTCCTGAAATATGGTTAGCCGAATCTGGTACCTAAAGACGTTTCATGACCGCAAGGCTACAAACAATTCGAATCGCGGAGCCGCGACATCCAACAGCTCGACCCTGCATCTAGACCCCTCAGCGACCCTCGCGCAGAGCAGCAACTCCTATGATCAAGGCCCCAAAGCAACAACAACTTGCCGTGGGAGGCCCTGGCCTGGGTGTCTTCTTTCATTTACCACGGCAGATTTATAAGCCTCAAATCCCCGAAAGTCTCCTCACAAAGCTATCCTAAACCCCAAACTGCTCATGTCGAGATCTCAGAAAGCCGAGTAGAAAATTCCAAGCGGCAGCCCCGAAGTCCTTCAGTCGAAGCCACCGGAGCCCGAAGCCTGAATCCGCAGCTCTGTCGCCGGAAATGAGGCACCCCTAACCCCCCAGGTACCTACTGTATAGGGTACTGGAGCCCCTAAGGCCCTATATAGTAGGTACCTGGAGGGTTAGGGGCAGATACTTTGATAAAAGTGGTCAACATGCAGCTAAGAACCAAGCAACTGCCGTAATTTTGGCCCGAAGTCCTTTGCCGGGCCTAAGGCGAAGGCATCAGCCTCCGAGCCGGGTGGCCAGGAGCCGGCAGATGGTGCCCCGACGGTTGGTTTGCATGAGTAATCATATGGGTGGTTGTCAAAATTAGGGTCCCTTTTGGGTCCTTGTTATAATACGGCACCTATTATTTAGGGTACCCCAAAAGGGACCATAATTTTGACAACTACCCATATAGTTACCAGATCTCAGGGTCCTTTAAGTACCAACCTTCCAAGCCCCAAGCCCAAAGCTCGAGGCCGTTCTGAAATACGATCGCTTTTAGCTGCGCACCGGAACAAGTGGTCGCTTGAAGTTAAGTTTCAAGTCGGGAGCTGTCTTCGGTAACTAGTAAAGCTGGGCGTGGAGAGGTTTGGGTTGAAGTTAGAGTTGGTTAGGAGCTGCTGCCTTCGACATGCTCACATCTTCGTACACGCATCTGCTCCGTCTTTGCAGCAAAGCAGAGTAGTAGAGTTTGCACAGGGTCGATGTGGGAGAAGAGAGATGTTGAGGTGGCGATGTAGACATCCATGGCAACGATGCAGAGCCATTCTGACGGAAGCCTGGACGCCGACCCCTGTTTTTGTTGCCGGGCCTCGCCAGCTCTGCAACGCACCCCTCTGGTGGAGGAAGGGCCGAGCCCGCACTGTCCACCGGAGCTACGCGGAAGTGGAGCTGTTGTCCCGGCTTGCGGAGCTCCTGATGCCTGGAGAGCCTATCGGGGAGCTCTTCCGGGACTTCCCGGTGGAGCCCTCGGAGAAGTGGGGTTCGCGCTGGCTACGTCCCGACATGACGGCATATGGGGTGCTGAGAGACGAACAAGCGGCTCTGTTCATCGAGTATGACGGGTACTATCGGCATTATGGGTTGCAGGGGCACCAATCAGACGAGCGCAAGACGCATGCCCTGCTAGACTATGCGCCATCAGGCTCGCGCGTTCTGCGGATTGGGCATGCGCATCGGAGCTTCAGAAGCATGGAAAACTCGATACAAGTCATTGTGAATGTGTGGCGTGCAGGTCACAAGCCGTCATTGAACCACGTCTTATGCCAAACTGTGGGGCACCTTCTCAGTGGCCAAGAAAGTCTTTTCCAAACGGATGTTTGCCAGCGTCTCCTCGACATGAACTCGAACAACACGCAGATGGAGCCAGCTTTCGCCGATGCATGCAAGTTTGCAAGTCAGGCCATGTTCACACGGGGCTCCAAGATCAACAAGGCCAACGTGCTTCAGTTTTTCGAAAAAGATCTTCAGTTGTCGACGGCCGCGATTAAAGCCCTAGAGAGTAAGTTGCCAGGAATCCGGGGCACCAGCACCGATGGCAGTCTGAAGCCTGCAGTGGCATGGCTTGAAGGTCTTGGTCTGAGCCGGGCGCAGGTGGTCAAAGTCGTGGCTGGATTTCCGCAGGTCCTGGGCTACAGCATTGCAGCCAATCTGAACCCCACAGCGGCATGGCTTGAAGATGTTGGTCTGAGCCGGGCGCAGATTGCCAAAGCCGTGGCTCGTTGCCCGCAGGTCCTGGGATGCAGCATTGAAGCCAATCTGAAATCCACAGTGGCATGGCTTGAAGACGTTGGTCTGAGCCGGGAGCAGGTAGCCAAAGCCGTGGCTGGATGTCCGCACGTCCTGGGATACAGCATTGAAGCCAATCTGAAACCTACAGTGGCATGGCTTAGAGATGTTGGTCTGAGTTGGGAGCAGGTGGGCAAAGTCGTGGCTAGATATCCGCAAGTCCTGGGCTTGAGCATTGAAGTCAATCTGAAACCCACAGTGGCGTTGCTTGAAGATATTGGCCTGACCAGGAAGCAGGTTGCCAAAGTCGTTGCCGATTTTCCCATTCTTCTGGGTTGCAGCATCGATCGAAACCTCTCTCCCAAATTGGTTCTCCTGCAACAACTGTTTTCCGATGGAATGATCTGCAGTTTCATTGCTTATCATCCGCCATTGCTCTCCTATAGCTATGCTCGCCTGTATCATCGTTTGGGCATCCTGCAACAGCACGATTGCATGTTTATGCTTGCCAAGACAATCTCTCTGACAGATGCGCGCTTTGCGCGTCGTTTTCCGGTGTGAGTTGCGGACTAAAATACAATGATACTATAGACTATAGTTGCCCCAGGCAGCGACTACTAGTGAGGTTCTACAACTATGATGCTGCACTTTTCAGCAAACTAGATAGGTCGCAGCAGGAGCAGTCGAATTCAATTCTTGGCCCCTGTTTGTTGTGCAATGCAGGCCCTCAGCAAACGCCCAGATCCCAACCCTATTCTAGTTATTAAGGTGCCTACATTAAGTATTTTGTGGATTCTCCCCAGGGGTTTGGGACGCAAACCCGCCCTTCGACCTTGGTGCTTCGTAAGCGCGGACTCTACACCCGAAAGTCCTTGAAAAGTAAACTGAAGCCTTACAGTTTAGGGGTTTAGGCTAGGGGCTTAGGGTTTAGGGTTTAGGGCCGTAGCGCAAAGAAAACACTACCCGAAGGTTCCTCAGTATACTTGTACGATGAAGGAGCCCCAAAACCCTGTGCTAATTGCTAAGGCCCCTGCATTCTCACATGATGGCAAGCTCTCGTGGGCAGACTTGCTCAGCTTGAGTTCGGATCCCCTGACTCGGGTTGCGCAAAGGGCCCTAAGTAGCTAGTGGGGGATACTTGCTCAAACCATAATAGTAATTCCTATACTATAGAAACCCGGTAAACCTACCCTCTACTATGTAGGTACTTAGGGCCCGTTGGGCTGGGCGTGAGGATAATTGAAACCCATTCAGTGATTGCCACTCAGAATTGGGACTATAGATTAGACCTTTGGTGTTTGGAACCGTTGTGCGTGCAGCTGAAAACAACCAGCTCTCCAGCCACAATTGTGGGGCTTGCAGCTCGCAATGTGCACCCCAAATCCTTCAAGTCACGGACGTTCGGCAGGCGTCTTGGGGCCCGTATGCCAAAATGGTCCATTAAACTTGCAAGTCCTGCTGAAACCGGAACCTCAGTGTTTTAAGGCCCCGTAACAAAAAGCTTGTAGCCACTGAGTCCCTCAGCTGCAATTACTCAGCCCCTTCGATTCTTTTAGGCTCATAAACCAGGTCTCCCCCACTGGGCACTTTACCCCTTTTGTGGTCTTCGGTTCCTTCCGGGGCTACCCAATACCACAAAGGAAGCCCTTTTGTTCCTATCTAAGGGCTTTAGGAGGGACCCTTAATAGGGAGCCTTGTAGGTTATTGGGGTTAATATGGGGACTACCTGGCTATATAAGGGGTATATAAGGACTATACAATAATTATTTGAGGTAATGGGATTAAGGGTCCCTATCAGCTGAGAGGGGTCCCTCCTAAAGTCCTTTTAAGGAAGCCCTTTTGTTCCTAGGGAACCGGGGGCTTCTAGCTAAGCACCGTGCTGAGATACTGCGGCCCAAGCCCCCGCTTCCGAAGCGCCTGCAGCGAGGCAATCTTTGAGGGTCTTCTCACAAGCCTCCTCTTTAGGGTTTAGGGTTTCAGGGTTTAGGGTGTAGGGTTACCCTAAGGCTCTGAGTACTCATATTCTAAGGCTTTTGGGCCCAAAGACCATACTATGTAGGGCTTTTGGGGCTATTTTGAGCCTTAGGGTTACTCTAAACCCTAAAGCCTCTTTGTTTAGGGCTAGGGGTTTGGTATAGTAAGGGTTGCAGGCTCAACGGTTCGCGTCCCGCGTTGCTGAGCTTCCTGTGGCAGGGCCTGAAGGCCTTGTTGTCGTTGTGAAAGGATTCTCTGGCGTTCCGTTCGCGATTTAAAGGCGTTGCGTTCGAATGTGTAGTGTGTGTATATATGTATATAACAAGGGAAGAAGCATTCTGTACCAGCTGGGCTTGTTCCATGTTGGCAAAACCGGTTTCAGGCTCGCGGTTTGCAGGTTCGTGCTTCCCCGAGATCCTCAATACAGGGCTGGGCAGGGCTTGGTGTGTCATTCGAGCATACCCCGTGTGCCGAACCTTCTACCGATAAATGGGAGGTGGAGTGGTTTATACTCCTCTTTTGGGCTAACTTGTGTTAGATCACAATACACAGTTCCAAGCTAGTAATCTGGTTTCCCGAAATACGGATTACCTCGAACATCATTGACCATAGGCAGGTTTCAGAAAGAAACGCAAATGAAACCCTTAAGCGTAGGCTGCTACATTGGGCGTTCAGAAGTTCAGGGGCTCTCAGGAGAAGACCTCATAGCCATGACTCCATGGCCCTATCAAGAGGCCATGTGTGCTAAGCTTCACACCGTAAGCCCTCATGTCGATCGCTTTGAGAAATCTACGTTGTATCCAGTACACGTTGTGTGCACCGCCCGGTCCTAGTAGAGACAGTAGTATGGCAGCTGCTGAACTGTACATTGACATATGTTAACCCTTACCCTCGAAGGACTCATATTTTAAGGCATTTGGACCCAAAGACCCTATTATATAAGGCTTTTGGGCTATTTTGACGCCAAGGGTAAGTGATGGCTTAAGGCGGAGAAACTGTTGTTGGGGCCTTGCAAGATCCCCGGGCCCTCAACTGGGTTCTGGAGTACCATACTTTAACACTTTTAGGGGGGCCCTGTTCCTTAAAGCAGCAATTATGAAATAAACGTGTATACTTTTTCCCCTTGGTCACTTCAAAGTCCAGTAAAATAGACCACTCACTTCGATCCAAACCTGACACCTCGCACACACCCCTCACCCCTCACCGCCCGCCCCCACCAGCAACAGCACTCAAGAGAGAAATGCGGTCAAGACCTGTTCCTGAACGGAAAGGGTTGAAGGGTTTGTTTGAGAACAGACCCCAAGGGTCCGTGTACTCAAACAGTATATACTTTGGCCCCAAAGTGCTTATACGTGGACTGACCTAAGGCCCAAGTAATTATATACTATACCCTAAGCCCTAAACCCTAAACCCTAAATCCTAAACCCTAAACCCTCACATAAGTACAGGGACCCTTTGGGAAAAAGCGTGTGAGACACCCCCTAAGGGTCCATGTGCCCAAATAGTATATACTTTGGCCCCAAAGTACCTATATAGGGACTACATTGAGGCCAAAGCATATATACTATTTGGGTCCATGGACCCTTAGCCCAGACCCCCAAAAGGATCTTTCCCTAATGCCTATAAAGTATCCATTTGGGTACATGGACCCTAAACCCTAAACCCTAAACCCCTTGGGACCAAAACCGGGCTTCCGCTAGGCCTTCGCCTTCGCCTCGTCTGCGCCCCGCGGCAGATGCCGCCAAGAGCAGCAAGCCGCGGGGCCTTGAGAAGGTTTCGGGTTTTTGGGGCTTTAGGGTTTAGTGTTTCGGGTTTTAGGTTTCCGGGTTTTAGGGTTTTAGGGTTTTGGGTTTTAGGGTTTGGGGTTTTAGGCTTTAGGGTTTCGGGGTTTAGGGTTTTGGGTTTCGGGGTCTAGGGCTTAGGGGGCTTCGGACTTAAGGTTAGCCGCGGGGCCTTGAGAAGGTTTCGGGGTTTAAGGTTTTGGGTTTAGAAGGTTTAGGGTTTCGGGGTTTAGGGTTTTGGGTTTGGGGTTTAGGGGACTCGGCCTTTTTGGGGTTGGACAGCAAGCCGCGGGACTTGAGAAGGTTTTGGGGTTTTGGGGTTTTAGGGCTTAGAAGGTTTCGGGGTTTAGGGCTTTAGGGTTTAGGGTTTCGGGTTTTAGGTTTCAGGGTTTTAGGGTTTAGGGTTTTAGGGTTTAGGGTTTTAGGTTTGAAGGTTTCGGGTTTTGGGGGGTTTTACCTTATTTAAGGATCAAAGGACTCATATTCTAAGGATTTTGAAGGTTTCGGGGTTTTAGGGCTTAGAGGGTTCGGGCTTTAGGGCTAACGGGTTTAGGGCTTAGGGGTTTAGGACTTAAGGTTAGGGTTTTGGGTTTAAGTTTCGGGGTTTACCCTAAGGCTCTAAGGACTCATAGTCTAAGGCCTTTTGGGCCCAAAGACCATGCTATATAGGGCTTTTGGGCTATTTTGAGCCCCAGGGTTAGGGTTTAAGACTCATCGACGGGCCTTTTTGGGGGTTGTATAGCGAGGTCCAGTGATGTTTCGGGTGTTGATTCAATTTGAGTCAGAGGGAAGCTGACTGGGCTGGGGCACATGTAGTGGTGTGAGGTTTAAGGGCATGCGATCTGCATGGGGATAGTTTCTATGGATCCTGCCACTGCAATCTTCCAGCCGAGGGCCAATGCAACTGAAGTCCAAACCTTCAAATATCGCACCAGTGCTTGAATGATGCACATGCCAGACATTCCAGCCCTTGTCCCGAACCAGGTGACCAAGAATCCAAAGCCACGGTTTAGGGTTAAGGGTTTAGGGTTTAAGGGTGTAGGGTTTAGGGTTTCAGGTGACCAAGAATCCAAAGCCACCGCCCCCGAAAACGCAAGACGCACATCTCAGGCCACCTGCGCAGACTCCTAAGAAGCGCTTCCTGGCACCAACTGCATCGAAACGCCGGTGAGCTGTTAAGCTATATGCTCAGGAAGCTGGATGCCGTTGATGGGGTTTCCCTCAGATGGTGCTTCATGTTCTTTGTTGAGTGGCTTTGTGGGGTGTTCTAGACTCCTTAGAGAAGGAAATCCCACGAAGTTATAGAGGGATCATGATTTAACGGAGTTTGCTCAACTCGGGGTTATGGCCCGTTGCGCAAACCCTAAAGACAAGTTCGAAGTAAGCAGGCGCAAGGCCTATACACCCAAGCCCGGACATCGATACACCAAAAAATAGAACGTTGCAGATTTCCCTTAGTTAAGGGGATCGGGCGCTCTCGATCTTTAATTTTAGGGTCCCCTAGGCGCCTAAAAGCATAAACCATTGAAGCCCATCCCCCTTGTAGGGATGTTACTTTCTGGTGCCGGGCTCCAGAACCCTGAACAGCTTAAAGCCCTCAACCCGTAAAGCCATGATGCTAAAACCCTGAATCCCTAACTAAAACTATAACCCTAAAGCCTAAAGCCCAATGAAGCCTTAAACCCGAAGCCCTACACCTTGAAGCTAGAACCCCTAAAGCCCTGTAAAGCCCTATAAAGCCCTGTAAAGCCCTAAGCCCTATACACCGTAGGGCTCTTGCTTCAGGCACCTTCAAACTGGACGCCGACCCTGCGAAAGCCCGATTGCAGCTGGCCCTGCGCAAAGCCAGCTGGCTCCCGAATTCTCGCAGTTTTGTAGGCCGTCCTAGGATTTCTTTTGGTGTTGGGTAAGGGTTTCTGTGGGTTTTACAGTTTTTTAAATAGGTTTCTTTAGGAGGGGGACTTGGTAAGCCTGTTGTCTGTGGGCTCTAAGTACGCTAACTCGGGTGAACCGACATGCTTATATCTTTTGCATGTAGCTGGCTTATACTAAGTTACTAAGTCTGTCGATCCTTCAGGTATCAAAGCCCATGTTGGGCTTCTGGGTTTGAAGTGTTACGCCTTTTAGGGGTTTAGGGTGCAGTATGATTCTGATTAGGGTTACGGTGCTGATTACGGTGATGGCCTTGATTGTGCGTATGATCATGCTCATGAGTATGGCTCTGCGTATGACCATGATAATTTTAAGATTGTACTTGTGATCATGATCACGATGATGGTTGTGTGTATCATTGCGGTGATGTCTGCACTTATGATTCGCGCATGTTTGTGACTACGATGATGGTTAATACTTATGATTACGATTGTGAGTCGGATTGTAATGCTGTTGAATCGAAAGTGTTTTCCTTGGAGGGTGTTACTGACTGAAGGGTTCTCTGCGAGTTTCCCGCAAACCCTAGGCCCTACTGCTGAGATAGGCCCTACTGCTGTGACATTTTCAGGTGGGTAGTTACCGTTATACCTTCTAGAAGCCTTAAAAGCCCTATATACCCTAACCTCCCCACCTGTAGTTGCCTTTAACAGGGAGTTTCCCGCAAACCCTACACCTTTACTCAAGGCCATGCGCGAGGCGGCAGAGGCTGAGGAGGAGGCCAAGAAGATCCGGCGCCTTTGTCTGCCCTTCCCCCAAGGGTCCAAAGGACCCAATAATCAGGTACTTAGGTTTCCGATAGTAGTTATGTAGGTTACTATTTGGGAGAGTATATGATTATTAGGTACTTGGGCCCTTAGGGTAAGGCTCTCGGGAGACTCGTACTCACCCACAGGCCCTAAAGTAGTTCCTTTTTGGGGTTCATATATAGAATCCTATAAGGGAACCCCAAAAAGGAACTACTATGGGGCCTATGGGCAGACGCCGTAAAGTGTTCAAACAACAACGGAGTCCCCATTTCAGCTACCTTACCGGTATGTTTCGCAAGATCGTGTTTGTTTGGCAAGGGCACGTTGTGCATCCGCAGAACCATGGTCGGCCCCCGGTGGCCCATACAAAATGCAGTCTATGCTTAAATCTACCGAGCTCTGCACAAGCTCCGGTACACGTAAGTACATCATACCTCATACAACCCTATAGAACCCCCAAACTCATAAATTACAAGCCCCAAACCCTGAACTCTGCAAAGCTGCTTGGCGCCCTATGCACCCGAACCCCTCCCCTGACCCTCGAAGCAGTCACCCTCCAACTCTCTAAAAGCTCATCATAAAGCCTTCTCAAACCCTATCAAAATCCCAAATTTCTACAGATCCACAATTAAGCCCAAGGCAGGCAGGGTATAAATTTCAGAAATCCCCAACGAAGCCCCAAGGCAGTCGAGCACGAGCACCACGGCGGAGAAGGCTCTGGCCACCAGAAAGGCGACTAAGAAGCGGCAAACTCTGGAGCCTCGGCAGCTAGGGTTGGGGGTTTAGGGTTTAGGGTTTAGGGTTTAGGGTTTAGGGTTTAGGTTTTTTGAAAGCTGATGGTTTTTCCGTGTTTGGAACTACCCCTAAGGGTCCCTGCGCTCAAAGAGTATGTCATCTGAGTATGTTATACTTTGGCACCAAAGTGCCAGTGTAGGGACTGCTCTAAGGCCAATACTATGTGGGTACATGCGCCCTTAGGCTACTGTAGAAGCCTAAATAGTTACCAATATCATTCTTAGGGCTCCTTACTATAAATAGACTATAAAGAAGCCCAAAACCTATTGTAATCACCAAAACCCTAAACCCTAAACCCTAAACCCTAAACCATTGAGGCTCCTACATTACTTTAATCCGCGCCTCCGAGTCAAATTGGATCAATCTTCGGTAGTATCAGCGCGCAAACGGAACAGGGAGGAAACGGAAAAGGGAGGAACCAAGCTGTTATGGCTAAGGTTTTCTGTAGGATTCGACTACTGGGGCCTTAAGAAGATCAGGGCCTTGGGGCAGATTCTGCGAGAATTTTACTAGGGACGATAAGAGGAGCCGACATGTACTACGGTTGATGATATAAATCCTGCATTACTCATAATAAGGAACATACCATAATTCCCATAGTTTAGGGTCCTTAAGGTAATGCAGGATTCAAATCAACAGCAGTATCACACAGTTTTTTGTAGGGCCTCGCTGTAGGGCTCTATATACGGGTCGTCCTGATTAACGGTCCGGTTGACTTTTGAGATGCCTTAAGACATATAGGCTTCCAGTCATCTTGTTTGACAAGCTGGTTTTGTCCGAGTCGAGTGTATGACATGTCGAAGTGAGCATCCTAGCGTTCCGGGCCCGTATCCCCAACTCCCTGGTACTTAGTAGGGCTCAGGGAATGGGCAAATGGGTTATAGGGACTACTATAAGGGACTATCATAGGGATCCATTCCTCAATTTTCCCATTCCCAACTAAGAGCCATTCCCAACTAAGAGCTAGGAGGTTTCCCTAAGGGTCCATGCACCCAAATAGTATATACTTTGGCCTTAGAGTAGTCCCTATATAGGTACTTTGGGGCCAAAGTATATACTATTTGGGCACATGGACCCTTAGGGTTTGGGATTTAGGTTTCCAGGGTTTCGGATGTCTCGGAGCTTCGAGGTTGCAGGGCTTGGGTTGCACCCAGAGACTCCAAAACCCTTTGAATGAAGGAATATCCCTCCCCCCTAGTTAAGGAATATCCCTGAATAGTTTACAAGGAACCCTAATATGATTTAAGGTATGTTCCTTAACCCCTAAACCCTGGACCCTATGACCCTAAACCCTCAATCCCTAAACCCTGAACCGTTTTGGAGTCTCGGGGCGAAAAGCTAAGCCGTAAACTGGCCAAAACCACCCTTGAATGAGCACTTCTACCCTTAACTTAAACCCTGCGCCGTAATCCTTAACCTAAACTCTAAACCCTAAGCCCCAACCTAAACCCTAACCCGTAATCGCGCTAAGGATCAGACGAGGCAGGCACTGGGCTTAGTGAAAGAATTCTTCGTGGGCTTCCCGGGCATCTCACGAGAAGACCGGGAAAGTGCTGCCTCATCTGTGACAGAGCACCTGGGCAGCAGGGTTTAGGGTTTGTTGGCTCCTTTCTAGGGCTGCCCAACCCCATAAAATCCGAAAAGTTGTGGGATCATTAGGGTTGAAGGTTAGGGTCCTGGGTTGTTTGAACTGGGTGCTTTTGTGTTTTGTGGTTCGAGGTTGGACCCTCTGCACCTCACCTGACCTACACGGTTTAGGGTTTAGGGTGTCGGAATGGTTGGTTGCAGTTCTAGCAGAAGGGGCGAGAGCCGTTTCTAGGACATTTTCAGGTGGGTAGTTGCCGCTATAGGAGCCGAATTTATAGAAGGCCTATATACCTTATAGAAGCCTTATTGAAGCCATATATACCCTAAACTCCCCACCTGTAGTTTCCTTTAAGTGGGGGTTTC